AATCCTTAAAGAATAATTTCAAGAACGTGGACTAGTGAAGTTGCTGAACGCAAAAAAAACAAAATAAGAGCAGCATTCAGCATCAGCTACCAAACTGCACGCTAAGCATTGATAGAGGCATTAGCGGTACCGAAAGTACCGAACGATTCGATACCTCACAGGGTACCGAACCGAAATTTTCAGGACTGCAATACCGATAGTTTTCTAATCACATAAGTTAACTTCGTAATGCTTTTGCCTATGGAGGATGAATAATATAAGCGATTGTTTAAAGTGTTTTAGATGTAATTTGTGTAGTCTATATATAATTTTTTTGTATTTATTTATTTATCTATTGACTATAGATAAGAAATGCCAAAAAGTCATTCAACGTTAGTAGTTCAAACAACTATTATTTCTTCGTCATGCGGTTGTCCACATCGTGCTTGTCGTTCTCAAACGTGTTCAAGATTACGCGAAAAAGTTATTAATCGAATGATGAAACATGATTCTCTTGATTGTAACAACAAAGATAGTGATCAAAAGAAAGCGAAACAAAATGATGAAACAACAGAAACAACACATAGTAGTTTGATTAAATTTACTCATAAAAAGGTTGATTATGTTTTAAATAATTTATTTGCAGCCGACAATGAAATACATAATTTAGAAGATAGATCAGTATCATACGAACAACCAATAGCTCGTTTTGTTATATTATGTAAACATGAAACATTTCGCGCAGAAATGCAAGAGAATTTAAAAACACATAAATATTTCATTTATCGTAATGGTTTAAAAACACAGTTACAATCTCGTCAGATATGTTTAAATTCAAATTTTAGTGAAGATATTTTACAACATAATGTTGAACGTCTTAAACAAGCAACAGTAATTAAAATAAATGAAATGAAAATAAACACGGTGCATAAAAACTCTGTTCTATACTGTCGAATAGTTGCTAATCCAGTTTTTACACAACGTGCTGTTTATACCGTAATTGAAGATCAAAATGGTGACTGTCTAAGATTAGGTGAGATTAATCTTTTTCTTTCGCTGATCGTTGTATCCTATTAGAACTGACGTACGTTTTGTTCCTCAAAATTGTTGCTTCCAAAATAATGTCTTGTAGAAAAGTAAAAAGCAAAATACTATGTATACGAAAGGAACTGTACTAATTTCTCCTATCGAAAGAAAATGTTTTACTCTCTTGTCTTCTAATTAGTTTTAAAGTTGTATATCAAACCTAAAAAAGTTATTATTGTTCATTTATATAATTGAATTTTTTTATTTTTCTATGTTTTAGCTCTCTACAATTGGCCTTATATAATGAGTACAAAACAAATAAAAAAGATAGAATATATTATGAAATGTATTAATTCATTATTATCAATGGATACAAATCTAATTTTACTTGATCCATGGTTGAAAGTGTCTATTGATCGTAGTTTTTCATTGAGATGCGATTCAAATGTGAATATAGTAATGATCGATTATCTTGATAAATGTTTGAATATTAATTCGATAAATGAAGCAAAAAAATTAGGCAATGATGGTAAGTTAGTGATTACTAAGAATAAATAAAAATTTACACTCTCTTATTACTATTTTCAGCTTATTCTGTCGATGATAATTTGAGAGCCATAGATTATTATTCATTTGGATTAGAAATGATCAAATCAAGAAAAACAAATTTGTCAATAATGATAATGGTTGAACAAATGAAACAAATGTTTCAAGGTACCATTTTTTTTTTGTTAAATCACACTGTAATACTAGTGAAAAAAATATATCATTTTATTAGACTATAACGACGAACGGATTGATATAGTCTGAATTTTTTCTCGTTTTTTTTTTTTAGAACATTTTCCATTCAAATCTGTACAATCACCTACATTAAAGTCTGTTGTTCAATTTGATGACAAAGATGAAGTTCGTTTACTATCAAATCGTTCTATATGTTATTTAAATGAACATCATTATGATTTAGTAACGAAAGATTGTCTTGATGCATTGAAACGTTATCGTGGTAGTGGAATTGTTGAATCAACATTAACTCAAACCGAGTTTCAAATCGATGACATATTTGCCAAATGTTTATATCGTTTAATATGTTCATTAATATGTCTAAATTCATTAAATCAAGCTGAAATAATTTTGAAAAAATGGAAATATATTTTGAAACCAGAATCATTAAATATTTACAATCAACGTTTTGAAATTATTGAACATGAATTAATACGTTTAAAAGAAGAACTTAAGGGTAATTATAATTTAGAAAATATTTTTCAACAGGTAAAATCTTTAGTTTTTAGAATAATTTTTTAAAATTAATATTTTTTTCTTTTTTTTAATGAATAGTCCAATAATTTGTTAATAAATACGAATGAAAAACGTCAACAAACATCAGTATTCTATATTGAACATATTCATGCACAATTTCAACGACATGATTATTTTGAAATTCGTCCATGTACACAAGATGAAATTGTTAAAAATGGCTATGATAAATATTCGTATGGTGTTTATGCGAAAAGAAATATTGAACCTGGAACATTGTTATTAGTTGAACAAGCCTTTTCCTCGGTGGATGTTTATTCATTAAAATACTATTTAGATAATGAAATATCATTGAGTTTGAATATAATTGAAACTAGTAAACAACAAACATCATCATCATCAATTTCATGGAATAATGATAAACATGTACATATCTACAGTGATCAAACAATTCGTTTAATCAATGAAATTGAAAAACATTTATTAATATCACGAACAAATTCAACATTTAATAAAATAAAATTAATTCAACCAATTCGAAAATATTTACAAAAATTGAAAGAAGACAGTCAAGAAAATGAAACTAATGATAATTCAACTATGTAAGTAGAGATACTGTAAAACAATTTAATCGATGTTCAATATTGAAAATGAAGTTAAGTACTCTTTTTGACAGAGTATTGGAAGTTCAGATTGACATATACAAGAATAATTTCTCGATAGAAAACAATTCTTATTTTTGATGTTCATCTATATTTTTACACTTTCTTTTTTGTGTTTTACTTATTTATGATTGCTATCGAACGTTTTGTCTATAACATTGAGCTCTATTTTCATCACGAAGACTTACTAGTCAAAAATGAGATATTATTTGGACAATGATAGATCTAGTTGACTCTTCTTTATTCATTTTTAGTTTACAAGAAAAAGAGAGTCTTGATGATAGTCCAACAACAACTTGTTCAAATCCTCTTTATATTCCATGGAAGTTAATATTCGAAGCTCAAGAACGTAATCCATTTAAAACAAAAAATATAATTGGTTGGTGGCCAACAGCACAAATGATTAATCATTCATGTTTACCCAATTGTATATGGTTTATTGTTGATTGTTATTTATTTATTTATGTTTGTTCAACAGGAGTTAAACAAGGTGAAGAATTAAAAATAAATTATGGTCAGTTATGGGATACATCTTATACAAATCGTTCTTATCAGTTAAGACAATTTGGTATCAAAGAGTGTCAATGTTCTCTATGTATTTATGATCGAACTAATTTAAATGAAATACAAAATGAATTAAAAAAGTTTAATAATTATCGTACACTATGTCTTCAACAAAATATTTCAAATCAAAAACGTTTTCAATATTATAAATGTTTAAAAGAAATATATGTAAAAATGTGTGAAAAATTTCATCAACGACCTATAGGATTTGTTAATGAGATTGTTTTATTACAACAGATAACAAATCTGTTAGAAATTGAAGATGAAAATGATGGTGAAATATATAAATATGTAAGAACAGAATGGAATGAACAATTGCAATATTTATTAAAAGGTAATATGTTTCATCGAAAAAAAGTCAGCCAGCCATTGGCATTGATAATAAACTACTTTTGATAATATTCTATGTGTAAACAGATGAGATAGCTATAGAATACTAAATTTTTGAAATTGATAAATATCACTAACAATTAAGATTTCTAAAACTGAAAATTTGAATTCTTATTTTACTTTAGAAACTCGTTATAAAGAGTCGAAACGTAATCCGTTGTATTTTTATGGATTACATACAAAATTCTTATGTCATTATTATAATTTATTCAATACTGATCTAAGTCTCAATGAATCACAACGATGGCTAAAAACAATTGAACGTTTAACCTCTGTTTATACATTTAAATCATCGTCAAGTCAAAAACTGACTGCTGTACAATTAAATGATAAATATATGGATTATTTAATATCGACACAGACATGTTTCATAACGAAAAATCGAAATGGTTATCGTAGTTTAACATGTACATGTGACAATGGACATATTCGATGTGGAGAATGTAGTAAAAAGAAAAATGAAAAAGATGAGAATTGTGACATCTAGACCAGATCTTTTTTATTTTTTTGCAACTTTTTATTTGTTTGTTCGTTTTTACACTTAATTTTTATTGTTTTGTTCAGTGAATATGAGAAAAAGAACATTTTATCTGTGTATGTGTGTGTACTTCTGTATATAAAAATATTTTTTATTTGTTGTTGATAACTATAAGATAAATTGACTTTTTATTTAATGAAAATGTCAACTGCTTGAATTTAAAAAGGCAAAACGCTACTATCCATTTCAAAATAGAGTGTATGTGATCATTGTTTTGAATAACGATTGAAAGAAAAGTGATAGAAACTTGCGATTTTGAGTATCTTGTAGTAAAAACTATACCATGGCGTACTTGGCTCTTGAAAAAAGAAGAGGTTTCCAGATACTAAAACCATGATGAATTTTCAATTGCAATAGATATCCTTGAAAAGAAAAGAATCTTTTTATTATTACCAATCATCATCAGAAAGAAAATTCAGTGATCTATCTTTCGCAGAGGCCCATCTCTCTGTTCGATGCCAGGCGATACAAGTTCAAAACTTAGTATCCTTAAACTGCGTCATCTGGGAAAAGCTCTGTTGTATACCTTTTAGAAAGACATATACAGTTGTATCACTTATTTAAAAACTACGGCCGTAGCATTAGTTTTATTTCGCCATGAGCGATAATGCTGCGTCTTCAGTCACTCGTTTTGGTGGTCTAATTTTGTTATCAATTTTGCATTTGGAGATAAAAAATCACGAATCTTCGTTCCAAACATATTAAAGAACCGTTTCCATGACTGATTGTTACCGTTGTCAAAAATATTTGTTGCTCTCAGATGAGGAGTGAACAATGCTGGATTGCATTACCGCAAAATCGACTTTTTGTACGGAGATTTTCAAGGCTCGACTTAGTGTTTTTCGAGATAAGAATCCCTCAAAACGTTGGACAGCAAAAGGGTGTCTTATTCAAATGAGGAATAAAAAACTGAAATTTTCCCATGTATTTGTATGGGATCATGTAAAAATCATGGTGTGGCGCCATCTCAAATTTAGGCAATGTAAAATACATTGGGATTGAATACATAGGAAAAAATTTCACTTTTTTATTCCTTATTTGAATAAGACGGCATTTTGCTGCCCACCCTAGTGAATGTACTCAAGTGTGAGTACTCAAAAGTACTGCTAGAAAAACCGGACGAGTACTCATACGTACTCATACATTTTTTTATTCACTGAGTACTCATCTGAGTACTCATGAGTGAGTAACAAGTACTCTGAGTAAGACTTTGAGTACTCATGCTTGGGTATTGTTGAGTACTCATACCACTTTCGGCAAAATACTCATGAGTATTGTTCATCTGATATTTTCATATAGAGGAGTGATCTCAGGTAGCCAGAGTAGGACTGCAAGTCTAGTCATACACACAAGTCTATCTCTGACTATATAAAGAGAGACCAGTGAGAAAATAATAATATACATATTCTGTGTTTCTTCACTAAATTCTACATTCTTTATACAGTTTCAGTTTAGCAAAATAAAATGGTGAATGAATATTTCCTGAGTACTCACTGA